TTTCATATACACTGCCTTTCGCTTTATTGTTTTCATATACGGTTTGCTTTTCGTTTCGATGTTTTCATATACGGTCGTTATCATTCGCTTTGTTGTTTCCATATACGGACGTTGTTTTCCGCTTTGCTCTTCTCTTATACGGACTTCGTTAATTATTGTTTTATGATCATGTGCTGAAACGCTGAAAAGTTCTCGGCCCGGCCATAAAGCCTTTCAAAATATAATATACACAAATTTTTAGTAAAAGTCATATGTTTGGTCATTTGATCAGATTTTCGTAATAGATCCGGCCGAGAATTTTTTAACGTTCTTTTATTCAACTGGATGTTAATTTACTAAAATTTGAGAGTTAGAAACTTATAAATTTAGCAATAGAATAATTGCAGCATTCTAACAAACCTTTCTCGGTCTAATATTAATAAGTTTTGTTTTGTACAATAGGACAATCGGTGGGGTTCGAATTACTATGTATTAATGAACAGTGGAACCAGTTTGCTAACCTTTAACCTGGCGGTGAAGACCCCAAAGTTAATCGCCTGAATATCCTCCTTGTCCTTTTTCTTTTCTCTTTTCTTTCTTTTTTTCTTAACATTTTCTTCTTATCTATCATATTCAAACTGACTTGCTGAAATACGTATTTATCTAAGTAGTAGACAATATGTCATTGTTTACATGTCTGGCTGTCGTTTGCCTTGCATTATCAATGTCTAATGTCTACGATTTCGCAAGTGCTTTACGCTTCGTTGATGCATTTAGTTGCGGTTGGTCATTAATTAAATAATTTGAAAGACAAAAAATATAGGAAGAGTTGTTTGCATTATTTTCAGAAATTCATTAAAACAAGGCAAATGCCCGTCTTACAAACAATTCTCTTAATAATATTGTAATTATGATAACTGGATTTTCGGGCGATTACCTTACTTGCTTTCAGTCGTTCAATTACTGTGCGTCTTAAAAAAATGCCGCTTTTATCGCGTTCACGACCTTTTGGCTGGGATCAAAGTGTAGTATCTGCCCTCGTATAAATTCCTCCTTGGAGGGATTTGTAACGCATGGCTTATCATCTCTTAGTTGCGTCTCTGTCTTTGGGCAGAGTGGGCTCAGGAGCTTCTCTGTCAAAGGACAGAGGGGCAATTGAGAAAATTATACTAAGAGGTGCCCAGCCCTAGGGAACGGCTGCCCAAGGCCGCGCCCTCCCATTGCATCAGAGGAAAGGTTCTGTTCTGGAACCGAGGCCAGCGCAACCGACGCGGGGAGGGAATTTTTGTCCCTTACCCGGGTGCACGCGCTCGGGTCCCCACTTTAAATGATCTTGTGTCACATGTCGTCCTGGTGGGAGAACGAGTAAACACCGTATCTGCCCTCGGGCGGAAAAAAAACTAAATTTCATCTCCCAGTTGTGTCTACGTCTGCCAACGGAGCGCAACTGAAAATATTATTGAGAGATGCCCCGGGTCTCGGAGAACAGCTACCCGAGGCAATAAGCCCCCTCATTGCAGCTAAAGAAGGGGACTCGGTAGTAATACCGATGTCAGCGCAACTGACGTTTGCTAGGGCTGGGCTATTTTTTTTAACCTGGCCTAGGTGCACGTGCTTGGGCTCCGCCCATTAAACTGATCATGTGTCACATCCTGACAGCGTAGGGCGTCATGAAATTGTTAAAATTATTTCTCGGCCTTTTGGCTCGAAGAGTTTTAAATAATATTGAACCCAAGCCACAAGAGGCCTTACCCTCATGCAAATACCTCTCATTCAGGAAGGGGCTGGGTTTATTAGCCGGCGCCTGAGGCGTCCCCAAAAGAAAAAGTGCCGAGGGGAACTTGGGCAATTTTACCACGGTATTGTCGTTAAAGCCACTTTAAACTGACCTTGTGTCACATCATGTGGTCGCACTGAAAAATAACGCTAAGATCAAAGTGTAGTATCTGTTCTTATCAGCTTAATCTGTTTCTCTCTCCACTTCTCTTCCTTCTTTCTTTTGTTCATTTTCTCACAGAAATCAAGTAGTATCTTATCCCGCTTTCCATGCGATCAAAACGTAATAGATCGTTATTTAGGCGGTATTGGCAAGGCGTAACGGTCGTGTGAAGTAGAGAAAGGTAGCACAAGCACAATTATAAGATAAAAGATGAGAGCTGTTTCGACTTGAAGACACATTGCATTGATATCTCATCTTCACCGATTTTGTAAATAATTAATAAATCAGTCCTCTCCAAGCCTTAAAGCATGTGGGATATTTAAACCTTAAAATAAATGAATATATATGCAAAAAATGGGTTAAAGCTAACTCTTACTCTATCTTTTAGGCATATACAACTATACGTATGTATGTATGTATGTATATCTATATCTATCTATCTCTCTATATATATGTGTGTTTGTGTGTTCATTAGTGAAGTTTGTGCATATATGTATGTGTAAACAAAATGTCCAGGGACGGAAGAGTGTAGTTGGTTTCAGTTTCGAGAGTGAAGTTTATTGTAGGTTCAATATTTCTGAAGCAGGAATTTATAAAATAAATTGCCAAAACTGCTCCTCCCAATATATTGGAGAAACAAGTAGAAGTTTGAAAAAACGCATTTATGAGAACAAAAGAGACCTCACAAAAAACAACTTAGCTAATGCAATAGTCATACATAGAAATAAATACAACCATAATTTTGATTTTAAAAATTCTACACTCATAAAAAAAGAAAATAACTCACTCAGAAGGAAAATTCTGGAGAGTGCCGCCATAGAAAATTATCCAAATATTAATTTACGCCCAGGCTTTTTCCCTATTTCACCTTTCTTAACAAAATTAATGCTCTTACAAACAAATATGTACAACAGATTCATAAAATCGAAAGAAAATGGTTGAATACATCAACACAGATATAATGACAATATTCTCCACACGTGACAATCTCTGACGTTATTTTTCAGTTAAAAAATATGAAAATAGCGTTTCTCTACATTCCAGTTGCTAGGTACATTCTGTTTTTGTTTTTATTAGTTACTTTGTTCATTTAATTTCATTTTCGTATTTTGCTTTGATAAAGTCCACATTGGACGAAACGCGTCAGCAATTACCAGTTTTCCTATTGTCATTTTTATTCATAAATATATATATATATATATATATATATATATATATATATATAAGAACAGTAAGATATATGATCTGGTGTTCTTAAAGATATTTTTATTTTTACAAAATAGTACTCAATGTAAATTTACGGAGCATTAATATTATAAATTAATTGATTTAAAATATGTTTTTTCCGCTACACAGTTCTAACCATGTTTCAAATAATGGAAACTAAAAGCTAATAAATTAATGACATTAGTTCCATTTCATCCTCAAGCGAATTTTGGAGTAACAATCAATATATACATATAACTTCAAATAAATATAATAATCACAATATGTATAATGAATGACATATAAGAAATAATAATGGCAAATCTTATTAAATTATTATTTTACTTAAAATCTGGTGCTCAAACATAATATTTTGGAGCGTCGAGTTCACAAATGCCACACACACACACACACACACACACATACGCACACATCTCTCTCTCTCTCTCTCTCTCTGTATATATATATATATATATATATATATATATATATATATATATATATATATATATATATATGATTTTCAGAACATAAATATAAGTACATACATACACGTATATAAATATAAATGTAAAAGTATATGCTGAACAGCAATCAGCTAAGTGACAAACCTGTTACTTACATTAATTGTATATATATATATATATATATATATATATATATAGAGAGAGAGAGAGAGAGAGAGAGACAGACAGACAGACAGACAGACAGATAGATATTGATAGATATTGAATGGCAAAATGAAACAGGGTAAAGTGTTCGTCCATAAGAGTAACTTTTCAAATGAATAATTTCCTCTAGATACGAAACACCTTGCAGAGACTTTTTGAAAATTTTATTTTTATATATATATATATATATATATATATATATATATATATATGATAAAAATAGTTTCATATTTCTTGGTTAAAGTGCTCAATATCGTATGTAAATATAAAACTGGCCATTGAAGTCACCACCCAGAATCCACAGTCTGTTTAATCATATGACTTCAGCGTCCAATTTTTATATATATATATATATATATATATATATATATATATATATATATACGCACACGCACACATTGACAGTAATCTTACGTTTCGTTAAATATGACGGACAAGGAATGTGTTCTGAGATTTTTAGGACTCAAATAAAGAACAAATAACAAATTTTATGATGTCCTTTGTTCTTCATAGATAATGAAACTCACAAATACAAACACACTCACACAGACAAGCACTAGCACACAGACACACACATGTATATATATATATATATATATATATATATATATATATAGAGAGAGAGAGAGAGAGAGAGAGAGAGAGAAAGAAAGTGAGAGAGTGGGGGAGAGAGCGATAGAGGCGGATAGAAAAAGTCAGAGAGAGAGAGAGATGGGAGAGAGTGATTCAATCTGGACATAATAATTAACATTGCATGTTGAATAGAATTTTCTCGCTTCAATGCTATCTTTTGACCCAGAAGATAGCAATGAGGCTTGAAACTGTCAGTCACAATGCAGTGTTGATTCCTGTATCCACACAAACTGAGACACACAGGCACACACATATGTATGTGCGCTCGCTCGCTCGCTCGCGCGTGTGTGTGTGTGTATCTGTACAGTTCGTATTGCTTCTCGCTGTCTTTATTATTACTCCCACGTTGCCAACTTCCTTAGTGAAATTTATTCATAAGAGTAAATTAAATTAAGTAAAGGAAATTTATGTGATTAATTACTGAATTTTGTGTATTATTTTCTTCTTTTTTTTTTACATCAAGCAATTTTGGAGCAAGTTTCATTTTTCAGTCGAAAAGTTGTGAAATGAAAAGAAGGTAAAACAAAGTGGCAGCGGCGAGGAATTAAAATAACCATTATCAATATAAAGACTGATAGATAGATAGATAGATAGATAGATAGATAGATAATGTACAGAATGAAAATAGAAAGAGGGATAGATAATGCACAAATGTGATAGATAGATAGATAGATAGGCGATGGCTGCCGACTTTTTTATTTATTGATAGAAAGACTGATAGATAAATTGTTTGGTTTGGTTTATTTTGTTTTACAGCATATCAACGTCAATGGGTTATTTAATGGCGACAAAATTTTTTATTGCTGGTAATATTTTGGTTTTGTCAAAAATCTGTTTCTGGTAATATTTCATCCTTCAAAATTGTATTGCTGGTAATAATTTTTTTCAAAAAAGTATTGCTGGTAATAGTTAACTATTTTCCCATAGCTGGAACCCTAACAGGTGCTACCAGCCCGGGTCAGGGTGAACGTGAACCTGGGAACGCCAGCAATTAAGAGGTGGTTCCACGCTCCTCAAAACCTCTTGATCAGAGGTCTAGCTGCTGGACGTAGTTTATTGTCTTACCCAGGACGCAGATGTAGTTTAACGTCTTACCCAGGACGGGATAGATAGATAGATAGATAGATAGATAGATAGATAGATAGATAATGTACAAAATGAGATAGACAGAAAGATAATGTACAAAATGAGAGAGATAGAAAGATAGATAATGCAAAAAATTAGATAGGCGATGGCTGCCGACTTTTTAGTTTTTGACACATTAATACTCAAATTAAGACAACTATTTGATTGACAGCTTACACTTATATTAACTTAATCATTCATGTGCGTTGCAAAATATATTTATATGATTAAAATTACATACGAAATAAATTACTGTGTACAAATTGAAATATTATGTTACAAAATTAATAAATATGATTTATTATGATAAAGAGTGAAAAATTATATAAAAAATATTCAATAAAATAAAATAAAGTATATGAACCACTGACCTAAAATATTTGTAATATACAATAGGCCTAGATTTACACACACATACACACACACAATAAACACACACACGCACACATATATATATATAGAGAGAGAGAGAAGAGAGAGAGAGAGAGAGAGAGATCATACTCGCTAAATTGCTGGTCTTGGCACTGTAAGATAGATAGATAGATAGATAGATAGATAGATAGATAGATAGATAGGAACAGACTATAAGCGATTCTTAAGGTTATGTTCACTTTTACAACCTCTCTTACACACGTGGCAAACATAAAGTCTGTCAGGGTTACTTCTGTTGGAAACTTGCCTGTCCCTGTGTACACTCATGTGATGTTTGAGTCCCGCAACAGACTTACAACTTTGTCGCAAAACTCACACGATTCACCTGCAGGTCTTTCTGGTAGGGTTGTATTCACAGGAGTTTGAACCTGACTTCTCTCGTATGATCTCATGCAACTGGCAATACCAAGTGCTGAGGGTGTGACTTTTCCACAAATACATACGTTACAGTTCAAAAGTTTGAAGCCATCCCCAGAATTAATATGGGATGAACTTGATAGAATAGTGAAAAAAAAATGAAACAGCGCTCTTAGAGTCATTGAAAAAAAGAATGGAATCAATTATCAAACTTATACATTGAGAAACTTTTGCAACGACTGTCAGAAAAAAAACTCTGCTGCAGTAATCAAGGCTAAAGGAGGATATTTTGACGAGAGCAAAATTTAATCATAAAATACTTTTTTTCTTTTTGTCATAATAAAATTTATAATAAAAATCATATCTCACTTTTTTTGAACTATGTATAATTTTTTTCTTAATTAATGTACAAAACGATTACTTTGGGGGCCAATTTTTAAAATTACCAGGTGTGACCTTAAACTTTTCAACTATAGTGTGCATATATATATATATATATATATATATATATATAGTTTATGGGAAACTAGGTAATCCATATGGGTAGACCCAAGGAGGATAAAATCCAGAGAGCTCAATGTAAATCCAGAGCAAATAATTTAAATAAAAACAGACCACTTTAAGGTTCTATGTAATATATTATTTCACCAGAGCCCTTTTAAAGGACTGCGGATCATCAGACTTTATTTCCAAATGTTGAAACGAAAAAAAAAATTATTACATGGAACCTTAAAGTGGTCTGTTTTTATTTAAATTATATATATATATATATATATATATATATATATATATATATATATATATATATGATGATGTTGATACTCGATTTCGATTAATGCAATTACTTGATTAAGCGTCACATATGGGCAATACAGCATATTAAAAATTAAACTTTTCTTCTTCTTCTTCTTCTTCTTCTTCTTCTTCTTCTTCTTCCATTCATTTACTCGCTTGGTAGGTTATGCGTTGTTTTCCTCTGTCTCACTTGCCTTCAATTCGTCCTGTGTGTATCAAATTTTCCAAGACCACTTTCCTCCTTATATGCCTTATAAATTTTTAGCTGTCTCTTTCTGGTGTTATGTATGTTTCCTTTTGGTTTCCATTTTCTCTAAAACTTCATTGTTTCTCACTCACCTGTTCTGTCCATGGTATACTCAGCATCCCTTCTGTAGAAAAATATTTCTGTTGCTTTAAATTTCTTCTTCATCTGTGAGAAGATTGTCTAGCATTCACTGCCATGTAGTAAGACGGATATTATATAACAATCCAGAATGCTTTTCTTTTTCTAACGAAATTTTCGTTTCTTAATAATTTGCTTAGCTTTTAGAAGGCACCTTTCGCTATCCCAGTGTGCCTTCGGATTTCAGTATCGTACTTTGTTCTCTGTTATAACACTTCCGACATATTTGAATTATTGCACTTGTCAGAATTTGGTATTTCCAATTCGTAATTTTTATGTTCAGCTGATTCTGTCTCCTTGATGTTTATACCTTTCTTCTTTCTTTCTTTTATTACAGTTTATCAGAGTTCACCTAATTTCCTTTCTGTGACTTCTATAAATACTGAGTCATCTGCACATCCTATGTTGCATAATGCATAATAAATCCTGGTAAGACTTCTAATTCTCTCAGAATTGCCTCGCTGTATAGGCTGTATAAGTCCATCTTGCTGTTATCCCTGTTGAAGACACCTGCTCAGACATATTTATTGTTCAGCATCCACATGTGGTTTATACTGTAACTATGCTGAGCGAAGCTTAGTTACAGCTTCTAGGCGAAAGCGTATAGCTAGGCGTGATCAATAGTTTGAACAAGGGCAGTACAGTCAAAACCTCAGTTACGAAAACGTAGCAGCCAGAACTGGGATGGGTTTATATTGCATGTTTTATTTACAAAGCCATTTTAGAGACGAAGGAGGTAGATGCTCACTTCAGTGCCTCCTGACAACAGATCTGCACGGCTCGTGCTGTTGGTAACAACCTCCTGTCTATAATACCAGCAAATTTAGCACAAATCTGATGGTTTTTTTTTGCGTGTTGAATATATATTATAGGCGAATAGGTACTGTACTGACCAACAAAAATCTTAAGACACATGGCAACACAAACACATACACACACACACACACACACATATATATATATATATATATATATATATATATATATATATATATATATATATATATATATAATAAAGTTAATGGTCAGTGTTGAATTAGACCAGTAGTATTAAAAAGTGCTCAATACACGAATAAAAAATAAAAATTCACAATGTAGAGCTTTTAATTATAAAAAAAAATTCAATGGATTCCTCTACATTTGTTTAAACCTTTCGCTATCTTCGATATAAAGCGTTCATTAATTTAAAACATAAATAAAGCCTTAGGAAATCAGTTGACTAAAATCGCCTATATACTATATATAGTATAAATTTATATATTATATTGTATATAAAAGTAAACATAGTCGAGAAAAAACCCATCACTCATGGGCTGATGATAGCGTCTAGCATGAAACAGCCTGTCGCCTCTGAGTGTTGAATTCAATATTCACTTTTATATTTAAATACGGTCTATCTCTGATATTGAGCACTTTATCCCTCAAAACTATATTTCTTCATATATATATATATATATATATATATATATATATATAATATATATATATATATCTTTTTGGTTTCCTTAACTTTTACTAAGCTAGAATGCATGGCGTTCAATTCTTTAAAGAAGAGATTACCTAAAATTTTAAAATCGCCAGTCGGATGATTAATGTTAACCAGCAAGGGATATTAGGAAAAAGAGAAATGGTTAATGTCGATATTATTAATGATAATAAGATATATATATATATATATATATATATATATATATATATATATATATATATATATATATATATTAGTTATGGTTAAATTACTGTTCTTGTACTACAAATTTCCCATAATTTCTTTCGAACGTTCATATCTGTTCGAAGCTTATCTTATAGTAAACAAATCATATATTATAAAAATGGACTAGGTCCGACAATTATTTTAATATATTCTTTGTTTATACTTTTTTTTTATAGATACAGTTATTTAAGTAAATGCTCTGTTTACAATAAACAATATTAAACAACATTTACCGGCCTGATTGTCCGAGAAATCTCAAAGGAAATTGTCGGACAGTCCATTTCATAATATATTATGTCATTTGTTTAAGTTAATATACGATTCGAGCAGATATGACCATTCGAGAGAAATCATGGGAAGTTTGTAGTTCAAAAACAGTAATATATATATATATATATATATATATATATATATATATATATATTATATATATATACACTAAGTTCAATGGGTTTTGGGTACATGAGTTATTATGATGATGTCAACTGTGAAGTCTATATGCAGAGGAATTCACCCTCCGTGTTGATACTCTTGTTATCCCAGTTGACTTTGTTAATGATGGTATTTTGTGAACATTCTCGGGGAAATGTTTTATATTGCCTTGCTCTTCTTTCTAACTTGACCATAATCGCCGTTTAGGTGTCATCTCAGTGTGGATGTGGGGTCATTGTAAAGATCCTTTAAGTAGTGCAATCTAAGTGGGGTGGGGGTCACTCCTCGGGTCTCTAGTGCTGGGAATAGTGGACTGAACTCGATGGCAACATATGCCTTTTCATAGTCACTACAACTTTCTCTCTCTCTCTCTCTCTCTCTCTCTCTCTCTCTCTCTGCTTCGCCTTCGTTGGTGAGGGAAAAGGTCGCTGTTTGTTGTATATTGTAGGAAAAACAGATTTAAAAAATCAAATATTTGTTAGAAAAACACTAAATTAATGAAAAAGTCTTCAATACAGTTTAAAAAAAAGAAAATGTAGCTCAATGTGTGTGTGTGTGTGTGTGTGTGTGTGTGTGTGTGTGTGTGTGTGTGTGTGTGTGTGTGTGTGTGTGTGTGTGTGTGTGTGTGTGTGTGTGTGTGTGTGTGTGCGAAAACCAACCTTACTGTTATCCTATTTTCTACCAATCAGTTATCAGTCAGTAAAAAATTGTCTGACCATACCTATTTGGTACAAACTACGGTAGCAGGAATTTTGCTTTTATAAATACAGGGTGCCCCACAAAAAAACAGGAAATTTGGTACAGTTTATTTAATTGTTGGAATTTCCGTTACTGTTATTTGTAACAAAAAGCAAAGGATAGAAATTGTGTAGCTTAAAACAGAATAAAAACACAAATGTTAGATGAGTTGTTCAAACTAAAATAGTTAATTATTTTTTTTTATATTCGCTATGGCAATTAGGCGGTATGAATTTAAACGCAATACTAGACAGTGGTCAGATTTCACCTATTTACAGTTGATCTAGCTAATTGTAGTCGTAACTTCTATGCTAATAGTGTCTTATGCCGCACTTCTCGCTTGTGGAACTCTCTCCTGTCTCCATGCTTTACAACCAACTCTAATCTACAAAAATTTAAATGCAATATCAGTGACTAACTACTGTTCTCCTTATTGCTCTTTACTCTTTCTCTTCATTACCAATGTTTCTCTTCTTAATTCCTCCAGAACCTGTAACCCCTTGCGTGTTAGTGGCTGTACAGCCTTGCTTGGGATGGCATCAATTAAAAACAAAATATGTTCATTTTTTTTTTTTAATCATATGATAAATCAAAAATTTTCTGTTTTATTTTTATTGGTCTGTGGGGAACCCTGTATTTTATGTCATATATATAAAGAAATATAGTTTTAAGGTGTGCTATATTTATGGGATAAAGTGCTCAATATCAGAGATAGAGCACATGTAAATATAAAGAACATTGAAGTCAACACTAAGGGGCGACAGGCTGTTCCATGCTAGACGCAATCGTCAGGTGGCCTGAGGATTGCGTGTAGCATGAAACAGCCTGTCACCTCTAATGTTGACTTCAATATAGCACACCTAAAACTATATTTCTTCATATATATATATATATATATATATATAAATATGTATAAAGAAAAGAACAGTAAGATATATAATCCGGTGTTCTTATTCTTATATATATATATATATATATATATATATATATATATATATATATATATATATATATATGCGAAATAGGGCAGACTTCTTTGGTTTAATTAACTCTTAATAAGCTAGGATGCAATGAAAATTTAAAAACCGCCAATCGGATGATTAATATCAACCAGCAAGGGGAATTAGGAAAAAATGAGTTAAAATTAAGAGAAATCTTAATGAAGTGGTTAATGTCGTTATTATTAATAAGTTTTTATAAATATATATATATATTTATATATATATATATATATATATATAATAACAAAAGTGATGGAAACATAAACAAAAAAGCGAAATAATATAAATGATATATATCCAAATTACACACACACACAGACATACTCATATATACGCTTCGAGCAAATATGATCGTTCGGGAGAAATCATAAAAAATTGTAGTTTAAAAGCAGTAAAATCGACATTGCTAACCAGACGCTCCTCTGTAGCTAAACTGGTACAGCACGTCAGGTTATATGAAAGTTCTGAGTAGGATACAGGTTTGATTCCTATCGGAGGACTTATATTTTCTATGAAAATTTCTCGGACATTCAGGCCGGTAAATGTTGTTAATACCGTTTATTATAAACAGAGCATTTACTTAAATATTTGTGTCTGTATAAATAACGTATAACAATAAAATGTCTTAAAATAATTGTCGGACTTTTTCCATTTCTAAGTGTGTTTGGATACATATATATGTTTGTGTAGTAAAAGCCAATGTTATTTTTTCGTTGAGAGTGTACATAGCCGTATTTGAAAATTGAGATTTTTATTATTTGTCTCATCATGCTTTTATTTTGTCTGTTGGACGAATAATATGCAGTAAATAGTATTATTGTTTACTATCATTATTATTATTATCATTATTATTATTATTTCCTTTCAGTTCTGTTGTATATACATTTCCTTCCGGGTCCTAACCAGAGACCTAAGGTCAGAAATGGCTTCATGACATTTTCCACAGCTTATTTTTGTAAAACAAAAAAAAGAAAACTAAGATCACAGACGCTTTACATAAAGTTCTTTATAATGTTTGAGCTGTACTTGGGGGTAAAGTTTTTGTATTTCTTTAAGGTTACAAATACAACTGGAATTATTGATGCCCTCATGTCCCACATAATTTATTTTTTCACTTCAAGATTCTGGTATTTTTCTTGGGAGGGGATTTTTTTATTTTTATTTTAATTTTTTGAAAGTCTCCAAAGATACACTGGAATCTGCAGAGACTTCCATGTTAATAAAAAAGGTACATTCTTGTGATCTTTGATCACGATGTCTGGGCGATTAGCTGCCATTGTTCTATCTGTGTGCATTGTAAAGCACCATGAAATTGTTAAAGGTCCTATAATTCTATAACCGGGTCTGGATGATGTTCATATCAGTTTCTTGCCGTAAAAGTTGCATATTTTCCAATGCAGATATTGGGCCACTCTATCATGCCGAATGTTATATTCAGTTGGTGCTAACACTGTGCAGCCTGATGCAAGATGATCAACTGTTTCTGGATATTTATCATAGAATCTGCATTCTGGGCTAACATAATTTTCAGTACGTGTGCTTGATAATTTCTAGTTAGCAAACATTAGTCCTGTGCGGCAAGAATAAAACCTTCGGTTTCAGCTTTTAACCCTGCACTATGTAGCCACTGATGGCTATGGGATTTGTCTACATCAACTTCTTTGGTACGGGCAGAATATTGGCCCTAAAGAGGCTTATCTTGCCATCGGTTTTGCATTTTGGGCCACTGCATTTGCTTTTTCAATCTTTTTTCTTTTATTTTATTATTATTACTATTTTTATTTCCTTTGATTTCTGATGCGTACTCATTTCTTTACGGTCAGAAATGGCATCATGACATTTTCCACTAAGCAATTTAAAAGAAAATAGATATTTTGCATAAAGATATCATTCGTAAAGCGTGGGCTGTACTCGTGAGAATATTTTTTGTACTTCTTTAAGGCATGGGCTGCCACTAATCTCTTCAATGAGTCTATTGGAATCTTTTCCAATCAATCCGAGGGCTCCAACTACAACAGGAATTGTTGATGTTCTCATGTGCGACATTTTTGAGATTTCGATTTCAAGGTCCTTTGATAGCCATATCAATAAAGAGGCAATTTTTTTGTTTGCCGTCTCTAATAACGATGTCTGGGCGGTTAGCTGTGATTGTTCTGTCTGTGTATATTGTGAAATCCCATAAAATTGTTGCATATTCTAATTCGGAAACCAGGTTAGGGTGGTGTTCATACCAATATTTTTCAATTTCCTTTCCGCAGAAGTTGCAGATTTTCCAGTGCAGAAAATTGTTCAACCCTGTCGTGCCGTGTTTTATATTCATTGGGTGCCAGTTCCGTGCAACCTGATACAAGTTGGTCAATTGTTTCTGGATATTTATCACAGAACTTGCATTTTCGGCTAACATAATTTTTCAGTATGTGTGTTTGATAATTTCTAGTTAGCAAGCATTAGTTCTGTTCAGCAAGAATAAAACCTTCGGTTTCAGTTTTTAACCCTGGGTACTGGGTTTGTCTACGTCAGATTGTTTGGTACGGGCAGGGTATTGGCGATGAAGCGGTTTATCTTGCTATCGCTTTTGTATCTGGTCAGTGTCATTTATGAATAAAAATGACAATAGGAAAACTGGTAATTGCTGACGCGTTTCGTCCAATGTGGACTTTATCAAAACAAAATACGAAAAATGATAAAGTCCACATTGGACGAAACGCGTCAGCAATTACCAGTTTTCCTATTGTCATTTTTATTCATAAATATTGTCTTCTCTAGCGATTAAATCGGAGAAATTTTCACATCATATATAGATAGATAGATAGATAGATAGATAGATAGATAGATAGATAGATATGTGTGTGTGTGTGTGTATGTACGTTTGTGTAGGTACAGGTTTCATTGTAGATGATTGACAAGGCACTGCGATGAAGCTTTTTATTATATTTTTTCTTGCATGTGTACAATTGATTCATATTTGGAACTGTGTAAGAACTGGTTAAATGAGCCTTGAATCCGAGCGCTTTCGAGGCTTACGGCCATAGCACATTGAAACACCTGTTCTCATACGATCATCGAAGTTAAGCAACGTGGAGCTTGGTCGGAAACTCGATGGGTGACCGCTTGAGAATACCAGGAACTATAAGTTTGGATGCGCGAAACAAGTTCCAATTAAAGTCGTTACATTCACTTACGAGCAAATTCCCTTTGGAATGATAATAATCCACCCCCCCCCCCAGTTATGGGTTAATCGATAGGACTTTTATTAATAAATTATTATTATCTCCAAAACATTCTTACAATCTTATAAATTATTTCTGGCTGAAAGCGGTTGATAAGCCGTAAAAAACAAACGAGCAAATCAATCACTCAATGAACCGAGCGCTTTCGGTTTAATCCAGTAGCGATTATTTAGGATGATTTTTTTTTTGTTTTGTTTTTTTATCAATATAAATATTTTAATTCCAGACTACAGTCAGCCCATTCTAACATCGTGATGTGTCCGGCCGTCCTGGGTATGACGATAAACTACATCCGGCAACAAAGCCTCTGAGTGCGAGGTTTTGAGGTCCACCCTGACCAGAGGCTGTAGCATCTGATAGCGTCCTAGCTATGAGCAAATAGTTAACTCCCTAACTGGGGTAAAAACTCTATAAAAAAAATTTATGGTAAAAAATATCAGCAATACATTTTCATTGTAAAAACAATTACGAGCAGTAGATTTTTGTAAAAGAAATTAGCAATGCTCCCAAGAAAATCAAATTTCAGCTTTAAATAACCCATAAGGTTTTGATATGCCGATAAAATGTATGCTATAAAAATGTAACTGCGCGTTATGAAAAATGGGAAGATTTTGGGTGTCTTATATAAGCATGTATCTCGTTACTATAGCAACAGAATAACTTCGAGAGTGAAAACGATAGCCAAAAAACACATATTCAGAATTCGTAAGCTCAGATAGCAGTAATTTATAATATAATATAATTTACTTAAACTGTTGAATTTTCTTTATTTTTAATTATTTTTATGTATTTTTATATTTCTTTATTTTGTAACTAATTTTTTTTCGCGTATGAATGAATGTTTTCAGACAATTTTGATTGGCTAAAAACCACTTGAGGTTTGCCGCCAGAAAAAAAATGATTATTGCAGAGTGCAGACTTAAGGATGGAGAAATTTAATACGAAGTGTGGTTTCATGTCTAAAGATTTCTATAATTGCTTTCTCCCCCTGTCTATCAGGCTACTTCTACCCACTCTCTCTCTCTCTCTCTCTCTCTCTCTCACTCTCATGCACACACTCACTCGCTTTCTCTCTATTCTTCACTCCTTATGCTCCACTGTCTGTCACCTGCCTCTCACTCCCCTATCTCTCTACTCTTTTTAA